TGTGTTCCTATTTTCTAATCAAGGAATTTTAATTCTCGATATATATCCTAAAGAAATTCTTACTCAAGCACACCAAGACAATGCACAAGACAATGTACATGGAAACTTTGTAATAGCAAACAAACAAAACAATAAAATGGTAATCAACAATAGGGTGAATAAATTGCAGTATAGTCATACAATGTGATTGTGCACAGCTTCGAAAATGAAAAAACTAGAGCTTCACCTACCAGCGATGAATCAATCACTAATGCTTAATGTTCGACCAGTGGTTATTAAATGTTGGTGAGTATTGGAATTATCTGGAAAGCCCATGGGGTACCCAGAGATGTTTCTTGTTAAAGTGGGACAGGACTGGAGCTTTGTAATTTTGTTAAGTTCCCCAAGTGATACTGATACACAATGAAGTTTGAGAAACAACGTGTTAGAACACAATTGCGAGAGGCATGCACACTGTTTAGCTTACCCAAAGCTAAACAGAACAAAGGAGACTAAGCTGTATGTTACTTGGGTTACACGACACTAATCAGAGCATGGCAAAGGCTGCTTCTGTGAGGAGGAAGGAGTAAGCATTTGAGAAGGAGGCATCCAACCAAGATGTGGGTAATATTTTATTTCTTAGCTTGATGAAAGGTACACTGAAATCATTTTATTGTTCATATTTAATGTATGTAATGTTTGTACATAAGATATATTTCACAATATAAACTTAAAAAGTAATAAAATAAAAAAGGCTTACTTTGAGCCTGTGCACTCCAGTGAGCATCTGTGTATGATATGTTACTTTTGTTTGTGCTGCTGATGTACTGACTTCTAATAGTGTTGTATATACATTGTCTTGCTGCTTCTGCTCATTGGCTGCACTACTGGAGGGAATGTTTGCCCAGGACAAAGGGAAAGTTTGTTTTCCAAGAAGCCACTTGGATTGCCCTCTGCACACTTAAGAAGGTCCCGAGGTCAGGGTGTCTCACAGTAGTACAGAGTGACCTGATGTGTGCAGCCAGGAAGTACAGTCTGGTGTGTGCAGCCTGACATCAGTGAGCAGGGAGTGGTTGCTTCCCTACACTCACCCCTGTGGCACTCAAGGGACCCAGGAGGACCAACAGGACAGGAGCAGGGCCTGGCATGAAACTGCTAGAACTGACTGATCACAGAGGTTTGCGACTGAGGCAAGGAGAAAACTGACCTTTTTAATTGCCCCCCAAGGAAGTGGGGAAGCTGCTTCTGTGGCTTCTTAGATTCTGATTGCAGATATCTCTGGATTGTACAGTAAGAATAGTCCCACAAGTGCAAGGAGGTGGGTGGGAGTACATTGGCAGCCAGCATACATGCTCTGACCCAGAGCACATGGATGAGAACTGGGTTAGGGGAAACAGGAAGTTCTGCAAGGTACCTGCAGAGACCCTCACTGTGAGGAAGGCATATGGCAGCTAATGGATTGGAAAGGGAGCCTTCAAGAATTCCCGGGTGGGTAGAATGGAAAAGAAACAGTACAGACTAGGGCAGCTGGGGGCAGGGGCTGAGCCCACTTGATATTGTGGCTGCCCTTGGCCCATTTAGCCAGTCACTCCAGGTGCTGCCCAAGGTTGCCAGGGAAAGTGATGGTTGTGCTTACAGAAAGGGACTGTGCAACTTTGTAAGTCAGCTCCACTACAGATTTCCAAGGTCCTGCTTGGGGTGTGGTGTGGTAGGGAGAGCTCAGTACTGCCGATTCTCCCTCCAGAAAGTTGAGGAAGCAGGAGAAGTTTAATCAAAGGACTTCTAGGAAAATGGCCTGTTATTCCTACAGTGCCCTCTGCCATCAAGACAATGTGGGAAAACCGAAAGGCATGAGACACATTCAATCCCTCTTGGAGGTGTACTGGCCCTGATTCCCCCTTTTCTGCATAATCTAAATTAGGGTCTTCATGACCTCATGCTTTTTCTAGATAAAAATTCCCTCCCCAAGTCCTTTATATTCCATCTTCAAGGTAAAACTAACTAATCTACTCATTGCTTTTTCTTGTATTCCTACTTCGTGTTCGATTATAATGTGATTTCTCTCATTCTGTATCCTGTGTTCGGGGCAGGGCCTTGGTCACCAAGGCAGCTAAGAGCAGAGCTGAGCATGCACATCCAGGCTCAGCTGTGCTCTCTGCTCCCCTCCCTGAAGCCCAGCTGTGTTCTAGGCCCATTCCATCTGGTAGTCCTGAGATATGGACATTGTCAATTTCCCCACCTTTGACTGTCTGTTGGTTCCAATCTAATAAAATCATCTTTCCTTGAACAGACTTTTTCTGAACTACAGTTTAGTAGTTTAAGCCCAAATCCAATATGTAATAGCATTTTAGTTCTTTTGAAATCCCTGTAATTCAGTATATTTAGGAACCATTAATTATCCTAAAAGGATACAAACCTTAATTTTTTACTTTCTCCCAGATCCAGCATGCGGTTTCAACTGACCAGGCTTCACACACATATCAGCTTCTTAAGACAGCTCCTGAAATACATTGTTTACCATCTTACCCTTAAATATATTATGTTCTTGTTTAAATGATTTTGAAACCCTCATTACTAATTCCTAACCTTATTAGCTTCCTTTTTACCATCATATTGTCTCAAAGTTAGAATGTATCACGTGCAAGGAGAAAGATTTAAGACCTATTTCAAAATGTAGCTATTTGTAGATAAAATTTTGTCTGGTAATTTACCACTGGTTTAGTCCCTTCTTAGAAAGAGTGAACCAGAGCCCTCTCTTCCACCACTGAAATTGTTGGCTTATACAGGCTGTCCCTGACTTAGAATGATTTGACTTACAATTTTTTGACTTTACAATGGTGTCAAAGTGATACACATTTAGTAGAATGCCCAGTTTAGTACCCATAAAACCATTCTGTTTTTCACATTCAGTACAGCATTCAAGAAATTCTGTGTGAGATATTCAACACTTTATTATAAAATGGGCTTTCTGTTGGGTGACTTTACCTGACTGTAGGCTAATGCAAGCATTCTGAGCAAGGCTAAGCTGCAATGTTCGTCGGCTAGGGGGATTAAATGCATTTTTGATTTACAATATTTTCAACGTATGATGGGTTTGTCAGGATATAAGCCCATCTTAAGTGGAGGAGCATCTATATGTGTTAGTTTCCATTTTTGTTGTAATTCCCATGTTGCACCTAGCTACAGAGATGGGTGCTCTCTTCTCTGCTCTCTCCTCCAGTTTTGTTCCTCTCTAATCCTCTCTCCCTACTGCAGTCAGAGGTTTTAAAAACTGTACATCTATGGCTTGTTTGAGGCCAGATCCTTTCAAGGGCTCCTTGTCTCCCTTAGTATGGGCATTTTGTGGGGTGTCCTGACTCGCTGTTCTCCCATCTGACCCTGAATGGGGCTCTAGCCCTGCCTCTGACCACTCTTCCTTCTGCCTCACAAGCATTCCCTGCTGGGGGGCGGTCTCTCTGTCCCTCCTCAGGTTGCCTAGGGCTTTAGCATTTAACACTCCTTGCTGCCTCTACCCTCTACCTGGAACAGGGAGCTATTGGCAGCTCCCTCCACCTTCCTTACACAGCAACCCCAGCTCCTCAACTGCAACCCTGCCCTGCCTACCAGCGGCACTTTGGCTAACAGGTTCTTCCTCCAGAACTTGTTAGCCAGAAACAAAATCTGTATTAGTCAGGGTTCTCTAGAGGGGTAAGAGTAATAGGCTAGAAGTATATATGAAAGGGAGTTTATTAAGGAGTATTGGCTCACACGATCACAAGGTGAAGTTCCACAATAGGCTGTCTGCAAGCTGAGAAGCCAGTCTGAGTCCCAAAACCTCAAAAGTAGGGAAGCCACAGTACAGCCTTCAGCCTGTGGCCAAAGGCCTGAGAGCCCCTAGAAAATCACTGGTGTAAGTACAAGAGTCCAAAAGCTGAAGAACTTGGAGTCTGATGTTCAAAGGCAGGAAGCATCCAGCACGGGAGAAAGATGGAGGTTGGAAGACTTAGCAAGTCTGCTCTTTCCAGCTTCTTCTGCCTGCTTTATTCTAGCCATGCTGGCAGCTGATTAGATGTTGCCCACTCAGATTGAGAACGGGTCTGCCTCTCCCAGACCACTGACTCAAATGTTAAAATCCTTTGGCAACATCCTCACAGACACACGCAGGAACAATACTTTGCATCCTTCAATCCGATCAAGTTGATACTCAATATTAACCATCACAAGTCCACCCCTTGTCAGATTCCTCATGGAAGCCCTGTTGTGGAAAGAGCCCCTGTGGTCTCCTCCCCTTGCTGTTTCTATGCTCCACAGTGGATCATACCAGGATGGGATGTTGTGAGCCTAAATGAGTTAATGTGAGCAGAGGGTTTTGTGTAGTCAATATGGACAGCGCATAGATTTCCTTAGCCCTGGAACTCGGCATATTCCATCCTAGGATGTCCATGAGATTTATGGGACAGGATAGGGCCTGATTTGTTCCTGGCTGTATCCACAGTGCTTAGTACAGAACAAACTTCAGAGATGTAGGTAGATTTTGTGGAATGAATAGTGAATAAATGAATGGATATATCCTCAAAATTCATATGCAAATATTTCGTAAAATGAATGTAATTCTAGAAGAATTCAGGGAAACTCATTGTATATTGATCAACTATGGCAGAGAAACCCAGCTTTCCCTGTCAGAATCAGGTAGGTGACTTCCAAAAGGAAAGTTAACCTTTCTCTCTTGCTAATGTCTACCATGACCTTTGACAGCATTGGTTCCTAAAAGCTTCACACCTGTGGAAACCAGTGCTTCAGTGGTTTAGCCTCAAACATCTTTTTCTGGCCTTCAGGGAAAATGTTGACTAATCTTGTTTGCCCCTAAAGGATAGCAAGTATTATTTGTGAATAAGCAACTAATGAACTGTGTGACCTGGGCCCAATCCCTTGCCTTCTTTGGCATCAGTTTTTCAGGCTGCTGGCCTAGACACCTCCTGATAGGTCTCTTGCAGAGATAGTTCATGAGTGGATGGTAAGCATGGGCCTGGTTATTTTTCTAGGAAATCAGTGACCCGGAGATCTTGGATCTGGTCCATAGTGCCCTTGGAAGGATGACCGTGGTCCGGCAAATCTTTCCGTCTGCAAAGGACAATCAGAAATGCATGAGGAACAACCACCGCATCTCCTCCCTGCTCTGCGACCCCCAGGAAGGCTACCTCCAGATGCTGCAGGTCAGTGCTCAGCCTCTTCTCCCCAGTGCCCTCCACCAAGAGTCTCACCCACACCCTTGGCCAAGGGAGACGTGTGGGGGCCTCCTGTTGCCACCAACTTCAATTACTAGCTCTGTCATTTGTTGAAATTGAAACCGGTCGACTGGGCAGTGTCTCTGAGCAGTACTAGCAGGCAATTATGCCTGTTGTCAGCAGACAGGGCTTATTGGCTCACTGGGTGTCTCTGGTATTTAAAAGTCCATGCATAGAGGGTAAAAAGATTCCTGTCTCTTATGTCTCTGTGGTGACTGCTTTGTGGGAATGTGTTTGTCTGGCAGGGCTGGGGATGGAGTCTTCTTTGGGAAGTGATCATTTTGAACCTGTTTTAGGCTCTTCTTAATACAGACGTGACCCTTGCAAAGCAAATTGGGACTATCCCAACACATAGGTTGAGTGCTGAGGCTTGGGTCACCCAGGACACTGCTGGATGCCCAGCTGAGCAGGGAGGGGCAGGACAGCAGGACCATGACATGGAACCCCACGCACATGGTTCCTTCCAAGGCCAGAGGTACCAAGTGTTTCTGGTCATTCCTTCAACCCTAAGTATGTGCAATTGGCACTAGCTTGTCTTGGGCCTTGGAATATGATGGAGAGCTATGTGCCTGGTGTAAGAGGTGGTTTCTCTCTGGGTGTTTGGGAGCAACAGGGAAGCAGTGTGGAGAGTACCCACTGGCAGCCTCAAATCCACTTCTAGGTTAGGAATGTGGTGACTCAGAAAACTTTCACTGATGTTTAGTGAGAGCCACAGGACAGAAGGAAATTTCTTCCAGTTAGGTTTGTGGAAATTGCCCAGAAGTTTGTACATGTGATATACTTTCCACTCAGCATTTGAAACTAGTTCTACCATCTTTACCCAGCCAGGCGTGAGGGGTAGAAATCAGGGTTTCCGAACAGAGATGGCTGTACCTGCCACCTGAATATCAGCCCCACCCCATAACATTTTGTTCTCACCGTATCAGGGGCCACATATTTTGTAGAAGGGAATTATTGGAATCTTGAGTGGGGTGTGGACATGTGTCAAATTTGCCAAAGGAATGAATCTACTCTATAATCTCACATGTAGGGAGAAAAAGGAAACATGCCTCAATGATGGTAGGCATGATAAATGTGTTCTTGGTTGAGGTGGAAACACAGCACACATTGATTTTAGCTGGAATAATCCCCATTCCACCAGTGTCCTCTGCTCCAGGTAGCCCACCAGAGTGTCTGGGGTCTTTCTAAGGTGGTAGAGGGGTGGCGAAGAGAGTGGACCCAAGGCCCCTGCAGCACTCATGGACTCAAGAGCCTGGGCACCCGAGTCAGAGTGAAAGGCCCTGGTGCAAGAGTTTACGTTGAGGTGCTGCTGGTTTATTCTGCCTTCCTCTATGTGGAGTCTGGAAGAAATGGTGAAGGCCAAGTAAGTTCCTTTCACTGTGCCTCTGTAGTCATCACTCCCAGCCTCCATGTGGATGGAAATGGCCTTAGACAATGGGGCTCAGGGAGCGTGTGCCCATTCCCACCTAGTGCACCGGGAGAGGGGAATCCCTTTGCTCTCTGTGGGGCCAGAGCCTGTGAAGGTCTCACTCTCTGCAGGGTCTTTCTAGCTTCTCTCTCCCTTGAAGGGCTTCCTCCCTCCAAATACATGGCACCCTTGCCTCATATGCCCTAAATCATTCTCTGGGTCTTAGTTAAACTGCACTCAGTCTCCTTGAGGAACAAAGATGGGGCCACTTTCCATGGCATAGAAGTGTCTGCAAAGGTTGGAGCAGGGGAAAGAGGAAAGTGCTTATTGTTGGGGCCTGTGATGCCTCCTTTTGTTGTGGGTGAAAGGTGTAGGTGGGCCCTTTGGTTGCATATCAGACACATTGGATACAAAAAGTCTTTTCACTGGAGTAGAGAGAAAGAGAGACCGAGGGGTTCAAAAGGGAATCTATCTGAGGGCCTACTTAAATGACACTTGCCCATGGAGAGGAGAAACAAAAGCGCAGCTCCCAGATATGTGACCGAACATCATCAAATGAGGTAAATGCAGTGTCAGACCCAGGAACACCTCCCTCTGTTCCTGCTGAGACCCAGGCACTGCATAAAGAGCAAAGCTTAAGTGCAACACTACAGGAATCTTGTAGTAATAGAAGCAACAGTAAAAGAGGAATCAAATAACCTGGGTTCAAATCCTGGTAACTCTAGTTACTAGCCAATTATTTCATTATTATTATTTGTTTATCATTCCGTGCCTCAGGTCCCTCCTCTCTAAATTGAGGTTTAGAGTATTACCCCCCGCCCAGAGCCATAATAAAAATTAAATGGGAGAACATACGGAAAGCATTCAGTTCAGAGCTGAGCTATTAGCAGTACAGGTTGAGTATCTCTAATCTGAAAATCCAAAATCTGAAATACTCTGAAATCTGAAATTTTTGAGTGCCAAAATGACACTAAAAAAATATTCATTGGGGCATTTCAGATTTTGCATTTTTGGATTAAGGATGCTCAACTGGAATTGGAATATAATGCAAATATTTCAAAATCTGAAAAAAAAATCCCAAATAAAAACACTTCTGGTCCTAAGCATTTAAGATACTGGATACTTAACCTATTATCATCATTACTGAGGGTGTAGACAAGTACATTTAGGGTTTCCATGGAAAAGCTGAACATAGCCTCCTTTTTTTTTTGGTGTGATTTAGTCTACCTATCTCCAAAGTGTGCTTTTTAAAGATATCACTGCAGGTGGGAGGGCAGCTTCTATCTTTCCAGCCCCTTATCACAGGTTTTGTGTACCACTTATTGTCCACATCTCTCCCATGGGTACTGAATCATAGCTTCCTTGCTTGGGAGTTGAGAGGCTATGTCTTTTAGACTCATGTAGCTCTTTATACAAGACCACAAGACCCTGCTCATTGAAGACCCTCGATAAGGAATTAAAGGATGAATCTATTAAGAATGCAGGTCTCAATACAAGTTAAACTGACTCTAGATGCCTCTTTATATATATATGTGTGTGTGTGTGTGTGTGTGTGTATATATATATGTGTGTGTGTGTGTGTGTGTATATATATATATGTAAAACACTTTATTAAAGGAATCTCTGTCTCCATTTGTTGCATCTGCTTCCTTGCGAGGCGGTATCATGAGAGGAAAATGTGGATTTATTTACTCATCCTGCCCAATAACTACTTGGGTATCTTGTAGATTCATCTCATTTACAAGCCATTCCCTTCCAGTTTCCTCCATAGCTATTACCACTTCTTTCTTTCTTAATGACAGTGTCGAAGGCAAACTAATTTCTACTAGCCTCTAGCTGTGAGATTTATCGAAAAGACTCTAACATGTTTAGAACAACTAACTCAAGGGGAAAAAAAACATTTATGTCATGGATTATTAACTTTGTCTTGATGAAATTAGTGAAGATCCTTTTGGAAATGGAGCTCTCCAGTCCATCTTTAGTCCCCCCTGCCAAATGGCTACTCTTGGGAAGATCATTCTGGTTTAGAAGTTTCTTGGAGGACCAAGAAGCACAGGGAATTTTTGCAATAGCATCCATCCCTTGGCTTCTCTATTGAGCTGGCCTCAGAAACTCTGTCATCCTCTATGAGGCCTGTGGTCAGGGCTTTCTGTGCTCTAAAGCCAACCAAGGACTATTATAGCAAATCAATTTGGTTCCTATTTAGCAGAACAAAAGGCCCTTGGAAGAAAAATACCTAAATCTGTGACCCCTAGTGCTCCAAATGCATTGCCTTTGCCAGCGTGCAGCACCGTTGTTTATTTTTCCCACAAAGCACTGTCTTATTTGTGTGTTTCTCATTCTTGTTTCCTTGATAAGTCAGTTTAGGACTTGTCTGACTCAGCTAGTAATAAAAGTGATAACCAGTCCCTCAGAACTCTGAGACTTTGCTAAGATTTCACGGACATCTTTGCTCAAAGGAGAATCTGTAACGTACTCTGTCTCTGGAACTGTTCTGCCCTGTGACATCAGGGCTACAATTGAAGTAAGAGGCGTATTATCACATAGCCATCCCCGCGTTTATATTCAAATGTGTTTCTAAGGGGTGACAGGCAAATGATATAAACTGTGTTGTGTGGTCACTGTGGACCCAGATCCCTAAATTAAGCTTTGGGGGCTAACGTGATATTACCATAAAATGGTCACTCAGGTTGAAATTTATCTTCTTTGTGTATTTAAAAATTGTCGAATGGCTTGATGGAATTGTTCTTCCTCTGTGCTACACACAATCTATTAGAGGATTTCAACCCCTCTCCCTCTAACATCCCTTTTTTTTAGGGCTTTCTGTACTCTTCCATGGCTAAAAGGTTTTTGTCAACCTGTTGGTAGAAGCCTGCCCTCTGGAGCTTCACCGAGCCTCCACATACCAGCTACCTTGGATTTCATGTCACTTTCAAAGGTTTACTTAGCCCTAAAGACCCATATGGGAGCATTTAACTCAGAGAGTGGGGAAGGCTTTGTCGGAGACAATTGCACAGGTGTTCTCCTTGGGTGCAACCGGCTGCTGTTCTGACTGCAGGTGGCCATGCGTGCATTTGGAGCCCAGAAAACCTTGGGTGTGGACAGATAGCCCTCTTCACTCTTCACACCATCCCCTCAGATTCAGCAGTGAGCAGAGCTCCCTGCATCCCCCGTGCCCTGTGTTACCATCTGCTTCCTCCTGAGGCTTGGCTGTGGTGCCCTATCCCAGGACAGCTGGACTGGCAGCAGTTTGGCAGAAAGACTTCACCTGGCATGGATTTCTCAAGCTGTGACATCTGTGTGTCAACTTGTCCTCCCCGCTGGACCCTCTGTTAGCTGCTTGTCTAACTTTGCTGGCCAACCACAACCTGTCTGAGGATTTGGTCAGAGGTCAGTTCCTACTGTTTGCCTCTGTGATGTCTCCCTGAACAGTCCACTTTGCTTGATTAATGACAGAGGGAAGAGAAAACTAGGCTCTTTAAAAGCCTGGAGGAAATGCAGCCTTTCTTAATGAAAACAT